GACTCAAGCTCGACTCAGGCTCGACTCGATTCGACTCATGTCGACGGACGTTCGACGCAGTATCGTCGCATGAATGGAGCGAGTGGTTCCAGAAAGGTCACCAGAACGAGCATCTGATGCTCGGCCACACCAGGCACGCCAGCCGCTACTGTTGAAACGCATTCAGCGATGGACAATCCCTGCACCAAAGGTCACTTTTGCCTAGAGGCACTCTGGCGTGTTGCTGGCCTAAGCCGATGCCGATGCCCTTACCTTACTTTCGCCTCGGAGGCGGTGCTGGATTTTTTTCCTGGAGCTCGGCCCCTGCACAAGGGCACGTTGCTGAGAATCGGGAGACCCAATGATCGAATCTGGGCGAGAAGCTGGCCAGATCGGGGCAACGTCAGACTCGAGTTCGCCAGAGCTCGGATTTGCCAACACCTTCTTGCGGGCCCATCCTGAAATTGACGGTCCAGAACTCGTTGGGTGCTTTCAACGGGAGCTCGCGTCACGTTTCATATTGGATCCCGCCATTTGTCCGACCGCTCCGTCTTGCCAAACAGAGTTCCCCAAACCCGAGTCTTCCGTTCGGTCACGCTCAGAGGGGGTACAGGCGGCCCGCATTAGTAGGTCGACCCTGCCAGATCAAGGGTGCCCTTGTGTCCTGTGTCTCGCGACCCATGCTTCGTACATTCCTGTGGCGATGTGGCCCTCGAAAGGGTCTTGTGTCCTCTCGCGTGCCCTCTCCAATCAAGCCCGACTGTAGGGAGAGGGGGGTAAGGCCTCTTAGAAGCAGGGGTGCTTCTAAGAAGCCTTCCCCCCTGCCCCCACCCCCCTCTTCGCGCCGCCGATGCGCCTCCCCGCCGCGATGCCGACAGCCCCCCGGCCCGTTCCCGCCCCCTCGCGAGCTGGCCCCACCGGGGGCGCCCTCTCCGCCGCGGATGGCGACTCGCCTCCAAACCTCGGCCAGAGCGCACCCCAGGAGAGGCCCGGGGAGGGTCGTCGTCGTCCAGGCCGTCGCCGTGGCCCGCCCCCACGCGGCCCCCCACCCCCCGCAGGTGCCAGGGGGAGGCGGCCGCCGGGCCGCCCGCCGTGGAGGGGATCCCCGGTCGCAGCGACGACGCGAACTTCGAGCAGCGGGCGTCGGTCCAGCGCTGGCGGGACATTCGGGGGCGGCAAAGAGGGGGGTGATGACTAGGGGGGGGGGATATCATGGCGTTGGCCATGATATTTCCCTAGATGTCATGGCGCCTCTTCTTGTTTCATTACGTCCCTGGCCCCCCCGCTGGGCCGCGCGCATGCCGCCGGTCATGATTTGCACCCCCCACCTCTTGGACACCCCCCTCTCTGCCGCTCCCGAGACATCGACGGCGGCCTCGGGAACCCGCTGGAGGGCGTCGATCTCACCGGCGGGGACGCGCCCTACTGGCTCTACCACTTGGGGCGCTTCGGCTTCTTCGCCGCGCAGGGCCTCCTCAGCGTGAACGTTGCGGAGGCCGCCCTGGCGCTCGACCGCGCTCGTGGCGCCACCAGTGCGGGCTCCGCGACGCCACAGTTCCTCAGCCGGCTGTCGCAGGCTCCCGGGGAGTTCGTCCGGGGTCTATCCCAGACAACCGTCGCAACTTTTCGCCAGGATCTCGACTACATCAGAAGCGGATACTTCAAGGCCCCCTTTGACATGTCCCCGAGCCACCGGCAGTGGTCGCCCGCCTTCGTCGCCGAAAAGAGCCTGCAGTATGTGCAGGAGGCTGTTGGTGTACTCCAGCGCAGCGCGGAAAAGAGCGACACGAGGACTTGGATGAGTTCCGGAGATGATATGTATCCGCCCTACTACCGGCACACATTCCACTACCAGGCTGACGGTTGGCTCTCATCGCGAAGTGCTGAAGTGTACGAAACCTCGACGGAGGTCATTTTTACAGGACGCCAGGATGCGATGCAGCGTACCTCGTTGGTGCACATATCAGATCATTTGCACAATATCATGGCCGACCGTAGTGGGAAAGGAGTGCGGCTCTTGGAAGTTGCATGTGGCACAGGGAGGCTGATGACCTTCGTCCGGGACAACTGGCCCGGCATGGACGTGACGGCGTCGGATCTCAGCCCTTTCTATTTGGAGGAGGCGCGGAAGAACAACGCTTACTGGGTGGACAACTTCGCACCCAAGGGGGACATTGGGCAGGCGAGCTTTGTCCAGGCCAACGCCGAGCGCTTGCCCTTCGAAGACGCCAGCTTCGACATCGTCCTGTCCGTGTACCTTTTCCACGAGGTGCCCGCCGAAGCACAGGACAACATCGTTGCTGAGGTCGCGCGCGTCCTTGCCCCGGGCGGGACCTTCGTGCTGACAGACTCGATCCAGCTGGGCGACAGGCAAATCCAGGATCAGCAGATTGATAAGTTCGGCGGCTTTGCCGAGCCGTACTACATGTCTTATGTGCGCAGGGATTTGGCCGAGTTGGCCCGGGCTCACGGCCTGGAGCCTGGAGCCAAGGAGCTGTCCGCGGCGACCAAGTCGGTCACGTTTGTCAAGCGCCATGCGGTTGATGCTGGCCTCTCGGCAGGCACCGTGTAGAAGTTCTTCCAGAGTGCAGCGGAGTGGGGTAGTTACCTTGGTGGCGATCTCGCTGTGCCATGTGGTTGTTTTTTGGATTGGTTCTGGTGCTTCTTCTGTGCAGGATGGTTTCTTTCGCTTTGCCACGTGCAAGTCGTCGGAGGTTGGGGGGTGAGATCGAAGTGGAACGGAGAGCCCCCCTACTTTGAAATCGATTTCGGTTTCGTGTTCGTGCGTGCCGTGCGTGCGGGCGAGGTGAAGCTGCGTGGGTGGGCGAGAAGAAAGTCTCCTGTGGCTGAGGCGCGGCTGGACCAGATGATTCCTGACCGGCGTGCGGTGGCCCGCGGTGTCCCGGCGGTGTCCCGCCTCCGGCTGAGGCGCGGCCGGACCAAATGATTCCGGACCGGCGTCCAGTGGCCCGCGGTGTCCCGCCGGTGTCCCGCTGGTGCCCCGTCGGTGTCCCGATGATGATGATGATGATGATGATGATGATGATGATGATGATGATGATGATGATGATGATGATGATGATGATGATGATGATGATGATGATGATGATGATGATGATGATGATGATGATGATGATGATGATGATGATGATGATGAATGGTGATGATGGTGATGGTGATGTGATGTGATGATGGTGATGGTGATGATGATGAAGATGAAGATGATGTTGATGTTGATGCTGATGCTGATGCTGATGCTGATGCTGATAGTGTTGATGATGTTGATGCTGATGGTGATGGTGGTGATGATGATGTTGTTGATGATGTTGGTGATCATGATGATGCTGATGGTGATGCCATGATGAGATGATGATGATGATGCTGATGATGATGATGATGGTGGTGTCCCGATGATGATGATGATGATGATGATGATGATGATGATGATGATGATGATGATGCTGATGAGGTGGAAGATGATGATGTTGGAGATGGTGATGGTGCTGATGATGATGGTGCCCCAATGGTCATGATGTTGATGATGATGATGACGATGATGGTGCCCCGATGATGATGATGATGATGATGATGATGATGATGATGATGATGATGATGATGATGATGATGATGATGATGATGATGATGATGATGATGATGATGATGATGATGATTTTGATGATGCTCGATTCTGATACGATCGAGTGAGATCGATTGTGGGATCGATAGTGAGATCGATTGTGAGATCAATCGTGATATCGGTTGTCAGATCGATAGTGTTATCCATTGTGGCATCGACAGAATGGGATCGATCGTGCGATATGTAGTGAGATCGATCGTGATATCGATGGTGAGATCGATAGTGAGATCGACGATAACGACATCGCCTGTGAGAGCGATAGAGAGATCCATCGTGATATCGATCGAGTGGGATAGTAGTTCTTTGAACGGGCATCCTGAGTAATGCGAGAGGGTCTCCGCCATCGTTCGATATTTTGCATCCGTTCCGATTTCTCTGCTGCTCAAGTCTCTCGATGGATCTGGTCCAGATTGGAGGCGTGCTCCGAGATCTGTCCCATATCTCACTCCACCTCAGCTCGGCCTTGCAGTCCTGCCCTCCTTGCCCTTCGGTGCACTGCCCTGACGTGGCCTGCGGCTCGTTGACCTGCGCCGCTGGCGTCCCCGTGGAGCCCGTGGACTGCCCCGCGGCGGAGTGCCGCCGGTGGGCGCCGGCGCTGGGCTGCTTCGCGGCGGGGCTCGCCGCCGGGCTGCTGGCGGACTACGCGCGGCGGCTCCTGCTGCAGCGGGCCACGCAGGAGCGTGCGACCTCGCAAGAGGGGCTGTTAGCCGTGGAGTTGGGCGCGGACGGCGCCCTGGCGAGCTCGCTCAGCGCAGAGCGCCGCGCCGCGCAGGAGCGGAGACGCAATGCTCGGGCGGGACGCATTGGAGGCTCTCTCTGAGTGGACCCGTTTGCTGGTGCTCTACCAGGGTGATGACTGCCACCGTAAGAGGCTGCTATGCGTTCCCTTGCGGCGTTCGCAAGGGCACTGGGTGGTGGCCACCCCCGACTTTTGAAGTGAACGACGAGGTCTACACGGATGGCGAGGTTTTCCGTAAGGTGGCGGTGTTGCCAGCCTCCCGAACGCTGCCTAGGGGTGTGCGGGAGACGGACGCGTACCTCTTCTACGACGGCAGGACACGGACGGGCCCAGACGGGCGACATCGCGCCCTCGCTGGTGCGCCGGGTGATGGCGCAGGCGGACGCGTACCGCAGCGCGCTGGAGGCGCCCGTGGGTGGGGGGTTTGGCTGCCGCTGGAACGGGCGCGGCGGCGGCCGGTGCGGCTGCCGCGAGGAGGCTGCGCGGCAAGCTGCCGGCGCGACCTCTCTCACCGCTGGCCGACGCCGGTCACGCCGTGAGCGAGGTTGGTTGGTGGCGTGGCGACCCCGCGCGGTGGCTCTTTCGCCGGTGATGGACCAGAGGAGCTCGCTGCACCGCCACTGCCGCCACCGGAGCGCGCGGGAGCTTTGCTGGTGGCCGACCCCACCTAGGGCTTCGCCATCGGCGCCGAGACGCCGAACCCTGTGGTGAAGGCAGCCTCGAGGGGGATCGCCCACGTGCAGGGGCTGCACGTGCCCGTGGAGTGGGTCGAGCTTGACGCGCTTGACGGCTACGCGGCCTCCCGCAGTTAGCAGCTCCGCCGAGCCCTTGGGGCCGCCGCCCCGCCCTCGCCCGAGGTCGCAGCTGGCGGCGCAGCGGACGCCATCGCGAAGGCAAAGACCCTGGTCGGCAGGGCGCAGCGGGCGCTGATCAAGGTCCAAGTCCGACAACGACATGTGGCTGCAGGAGCAGCTGACTAAGCTCGACAGCCCCGATCTCGAGGGCCTGGTGAAGGAGGTCTTCTCGGAGAACGGGGCTCTGGAGGTGAAGCTCAGCGACGTGATGGCGCGTCTCGCGAGGCTTGGGGAGGCCACCGACGGGCCTCGACAGCCCAGCGAGGAGGGCACCAGGGTGCTGGCCATCGCGCGCACGCCACGCCGTTCGGGATCTGGCATCGGGACTTCAGAGCCTCGGTCGAGGCGACGCAGGAGAGCTCCTGGGAGGACTGGCCGCTCAACGGGCCCAGGACCGTCCTCTTCGCGCTCTCATTCGTCGCGGAGCACTTCCAGAACCCCGAGCAGAGGCATGCGTTCTTCCTGGCAGATGGGCGCCTCCAGTCTTCGGACGTGGGCGTGGGCGAACGCGCGGTGGTGATGGAGATGCTGTTCTTCGGCGCGGTCTACGACCAGCTGGACCTGCCGCAGCTCGCCCGGGCCGAGCCGGCCTGCGGGCGCGCGCAGCTGATCGAGCTCAAGCACAAGGACGAGTTCGGCCCGAAGAGGCGGCAGGACGGCAAGAGGGTCGTCGACGACCCCTATGACGACGCTCACCTCCACCTCGGCTTGTCGGCGACGCGTGGGATGCTGTGCGTTTCACCGGAGCTGGAGGTCTGGGGGGGGCCGCGAGCTTTCGAACTAGTATCAGGCCACGATGGAGAGACGCAAAGCCCTTGAGGAGCGGAAGGCTCTCAAGGGCGAGAAGGACTAGCACCTCGGGAGCGGCGGCGAGACCTGGCCACTTGGCCTGGCCGCCCCCGCTTGGCCACCCCATCGGCCTTCGTCGCGATGGGCGGCGGGGCTACAGGCGGGCCGCCGCGGGAGCTCCCCCTGTGCCCACCGCCTTTTTCTTTTGCGAGAGGCCCTGCTGATGCTTTTGGGTGACGCTCGGCCAGGGGAATGGCGGCAGCTCGGCAGCGCTGGCAGGCCTGGTGCAGTCGAGGCGTTCTTGCACTCAATGGACTTGTTGGTCACCTTGTCCCTGCTGGCGACGGCGTCGCGGCGCCCCTCTCGGCCGGCCAGCTGTCCTGCCTCGAGGAGCTGAGGGGCGCCTATCGGGCGGTCGGCCCACCGCCTGCTGGGCTCGGCGGCGCCGATGCCGCGGGCCTGCCGCCCCCGCACCGTTCGGGCGCAGTCTCGCTGCCTCCGGTCTCTTCTAAGCCCGTGGAGCTCTTCAAGGTGCTCGACGGTCGGGGGCTCAAGACGCGGGCGGAGTGGAGATCTCGTCTCCTTCGCGAGGAAGGCAGCGGGCCCTCCGATGATGGCAGTTTTGGCGTCTCCTCCGTCCACTCGGACCCAGCGCATATGAAGCGCCCCGCTATGTGCGGCGAGTTCCTCGGCGACCTGCACGCGAGGGGCGTCGCGGGCTTCTCGAGCGCTCGCCCTGCCGCAGCGCGGGTGCGCTTCGTGAGTGAAAGGGAGCGCTCTCTTCGAGAAATCTTTGGCGCGCTGGCAGCCAATGAGCTCTTCCGCCCGCCAGTCCAGACTGCGCTTCCCATGAGTGGCTCGCGGGGCCAAGTTGAGGTTGAGGACGATGAGCCCCTTCAGAGTGCCCAGCGCGAGGTGCAGGCCGCTTTCCATCGCATTGCCCTCGGCCCAGGGATGAGAGATCTGTTTTATTTTATTATGGGCCAAGACCTCCTGCATGCCTAGCCTTCCCGGGGAGAAACGCGACCGTCTGGGCCCCTGCTGTCTGCTCCCCCCCTCCTTGTCCTCCCAATGGGGTGGTCTTCGGCTTGGTTTTTCTGTCAAGCTGCCGCGCCCGTCGGGATGAAACGCATTGCTTTGCATTGCTTTGATGAGGTCTCCGACAGTGGGGGCCCTCAAGTTTTCGACGACGCTTCCGTCAAGCATGCTGTGCATGTAGATGTTGTTGCCGTCTTTTCTTCCGGGTCGCTCCACGTGTGCGGAATCGGCGATGACGAGACCCCGAATTCTCACTCGTGCGCGGGTGATAACTGACATGCGCCGAGACCCCCGAGGCCTCGAACTCTCGTAGCCCTCGCAGGCCTCGTAGCCCTGCGCATTGCTTTCGCGCTTCTTCGCGCCCCCTGACATGTTGCAGGACATCTCAATGGCGCGCCTTTTTGGTTTCCATGGCAAACGTGGCGACTTCTCTAATTTGAAAACGCACGAAAACTTGCCCTGGCGCTATGTTCAGCTGGAAATCAAATACAGATACGGTACCACGATTTTTTCGTCGAGTTGAATCAGCGCGTTTATATACAGAGCCTGGAAATTAAGATTATATATTTACTATTAATTTCCATGTTCTGTAAGAAACGGCGCGCCCGTCGCGACCCACAGAATGTTCTAATTCAGGTTTGAACGCT